AAGGAGAGAAGATTCCCTTTAATTCATCCCTGTCTAAGGTAGGGGCGCGCGAGAGAGAGAGAGGGGTCGTTGCAAACTTCTCTCAAGGTCGTTAGAAACTGCCAGCATCCGGGCATTTCGCTCTGTGAACCATGTGAAGCAACAGTTGATTTTGCGGTGTCCTGTAAAATGTACACCATGCTCGCGTTTGGCAAGTTTTTGTTGGTCTATTCCTGAATTTATGTGATGAAAAATGGAGTAAAAAGTTAGAGAATAGAATATAGATATAGACATCTTGATGTTCCTAATAAGAGGGTGGTTACTTCTTCAAAGGATAAATTGTTTTAGGAACAAACAATTTTCATGTATGCTTATAAATGATAGCAATTAAATATGTTTGCGTCACTGTATATATATTTCATAAAATGTAGATATAAATTACTATAATTTTAGTGGGCGATGTTTAGATTCCTGCTGTGAATATCGCCTCATGTGTGCAAATGTTTATATAGGATGGGTAGTTTGCAGTACTATCTTTAATCACTAATACTTAAAGTTAATGCTCTGAGTCTAAAGGCTAACATCAGCCTGTCCAAATGCAGGCAGGAATGATTTTTGACAATGTCTTCATCTTGAGTTTAATGTGCTTAACTGATATTCATCAAGCTGATAATGTGATACAGCATCATTGGTATGATCCATCTTCGGACAAATCAAACAGATCGAGGTCTGATACTAGTTTTTTTTTTCTATAAGTAGTCGTGTCAGGATTCTAGAACTCATCAAAAGAGCTGGTGGATAAGACATCATTTACATTTTACATTTACTGTTCCTAAAATAGAGTTTTTTTATTTGCATAATATATGTGAATACATTTTGAAAGGTTTACTTTCCAGCTTCTCCGCAGATTTCTTGTGGTTCTGATATGTATGTGTTTCTCATCTGTATTATGGCTTTGGAGCACTTTAAGTGATGGATTTGAGGGGTGTTGGGTGGTGGAGTCCAGCATTTGTGTGTCTGATATGTCGTTGGTGAAAGGGAAGAAGACACTTTGCATCTCTGTATTTAATACTCTGAGGTGGATGAAGTCTGTGCAGATTGGCGATTGGCAGCATGGAACAACCTGTGACAGTGTTTCAGCTGATCTGCCGGTTCTGGTAGATTCAAATCTCTGGTGCTCTTGATGAACACATTTAAGGTTGATGGGTGCTTGCAGCTTCTCCGACTAATCATCAGAGTAAGCGATGTTCCAGCATTTCTCCAGTGTCCCTGCCTATGAGGTTTGTTCGCTTTGTAGTTCTATCGGATGCAGCCGCAGCTCCTTCTCTCAGCTCCTGTCTGCAGTCACCTGGGTCACCTTGCTCTTCATATATTCCCAAAAGGCTTTAGCTTTGGTCTCTGACTTGCTTACATGGTCAATGTTCAGGACAATTTGGTCAGCCCTGTCCTTGATGTCCCTCATCATGTCCAACTCTGACTCCCTCCCAATCATCCATTTAGAGATCCTCTCACAGAATCCTCTCACAGTGTCAATGTAGATGAGAGTATCTGCGGTGTAGCGGCACAAGGCCTCCTGTAGCTCTTTTCTGGAAGACAAGACGACATCCTGTTTGTGAGATTTCAAAAAAAATTCTGGACAATATTGTGTCTCACAGTTAGTCTCACATTGCAAGACTGAAAAACTACATAGATAAAGATACAGAACGTCTACAAAGAGATGCAAAAGGACATAAATCGACTATGAAGAGACACAAAATGACCACAGAGAAATGCATAAACATCTAAAAAGAAAAACAAAATGATTGGGGAGGTACAAAGAGACAAAAATGAGCACAAAGAGAAACAAAACACACAGTGTCCCAGTGTTTGCTGTTTTATGCATCTGGTACACATTTTGTGTTCACTTTTGGCTCATTCCAGACCAAAAAGGGTGCACAAAAAGGACATAAATACTGTATTTAAGATAAACTAATTGTCATACATAGCCAACTGTATTCATAAACAAATGATAAATTACGGATTCAAACCACAAAGCCCACCTACATATGAAGGCATATTACATACATCAGTAGTTCCCAACCTGGGGGTCAGAATCCCTCCAAGAGGTCACAAGAGAGAGGAGTTGTGAAATGATTGACAGGATGGAAGAGCAGTAAAAATACTTTAAATATTGAATTAATTTTTTTTTAAATCATCTAATCTTTGCTGTTTGACTTGTAGAATATTGATACAAATGGTATGTAATTATTCAGATTACTTTATTGTCCTTTCTATTTACATAAAATAGAATATGTAACATAAAATGGAATAAATTCCGATCTATCTATCTTATAGTGATTTCCAACTAGTAACATTTCTTTGTTTTAGGATCCACAGACCACAAAGGTTTGGAACAATGGTTCAATGCATGTGAGTTTTAGTAATCGTTGCGTTTACAAGATCTGACCAGCAGATGTCGCCAGAGCACACATGGTGTCTCAAACTGAGTGGAGCAACAGGTTTAATGAGTTTAATGCTCATTAAATACTGTTCCACATGTTCTTTGGGCACAGTAGTTTGCAATATAATGGATTTAAAACTGAAATTATTTCACAACGATGAATTATTGCCATTACTGACATAACCAAAGCTAAGAGCTGCTTATTTCTCTTTTTTGTTGCCATTGTTTTTAAGATACATTCATTTCTAGGATCAGGTAGGCCTATGTAAGTGTGCACCGAGGGTTACAAAACACACTAAAATGTCCGATTTACTGAATATCATAACAATAAGTTATTGTGTTATTTATTGGAGTTTCTGACATCCCAATATCTGTCCACAACCTTATGTAACACTTTGCAGTTACTATTAGCTTTTCTCTCATTTTCTGTGCAGCCCAAAGGTACAAACTCCTTACCTGGCTGTAGACATGTTTCCTCCTCTCGGTATGTTGTCTTCAGATCTTTATAGAAATAAATCCAATCAAGATTGGAAATCTGGTTTGTTTATTGTGGCAAAGATCATCAAAACATGTTTTAGCCTGAATCTGCTGATATACCTCAATCAACAATTGTTGATTATTGACAAAACTTCGGTAGGTAAGTATGCACAAGTGTGTTTGGTTTCGTTTCCCTTTCTCCACGTCACCAACACACCCATTCCTGTGCTCAGCTCACTCGCTGAGTTTTATCAACTGACTTTTATAACAGCACAGTATCGACGACACGCCTTTGCTTGTTTCCTGGTGTTTCCTTCAACGACTATCGGAAATATAGACGTTGATGGTGACTGATGGGGTTATTTCTGTGTCTCCTGAGGTAGACGCGCCCTTACAGACAAAAGAAGTGGAGGAATGGAGGATCTTACCCAAACTCTGCGTTTTTTCCGTTATTTTTGGGACTTTTAAACTCAAACTGCACCGTCAGCTGAGGCTGCCGTCTATGTTTGTTTTGATACAAGAACATGTGTTTGGCGTTCTCGCGAGATTTGCGCCAGAACTCCAGTGGTCAGCAGTTCAGTAGTGTATTCAGTCTAAATTTTATGCTCCTAAAGAATAAAAAATATGTTGGCCTACAGGTTGGTGGAAACAATCTTATTAACGTAAAGTCATTGTATAATGATTCTTTATTAAGTTGTTTACTTTTTTATTAATTTCTCAAATGTGCTGTGACACTGGCAGAAAACATATAACTGATTGTGGGAAAGCTGTACTGCAATGTAAACACAGCTGTATGTTCATTTTCACTTTTACAAACTGAAATTGAATGTATCAGTAACCTTAATTTATAAATGTCCATTTTTTTTTTTTACAAAGAAATAGTGTAGCTACATTAATATGGTTAGTGTTAATTATAAGGTTATTCACCAAACTGGCTATACCTAGAGTACTAAGGCTTTAGAAAGTTGCTGACACAACAACTTCTACAAAAACAGTGTTTATTGTTCAAAAAGAGCAAGTTTAAACCATTTTTTATGGGTCAAGATAGTCCGGACAGAGTTTTACAGAATAAAATGTGTCTAACTCACAGGATTATTCATAATGATGTTCCAAAGTACCTCTGCAACTAATTTACCAAAGTTAGTGAATACTGTTATTACACCACATGAGGGAGTACAACTGATTGGATTTGGTTTTTGGTTGGCTTTCTTATTTTTTTTTTTATCCTTTTGATGATTTGTGTATCTGGGGCATCTCTGGCTAAAAGGGCAATTTTATGTAAATGATCAATAAAGAATTTCACTTAATCAATCAGGACAGCTAAAAACAAACAAACATAGACTTTCGTCAACTGATCAGCAACACAGAATCAATTAGATCCTAACCACTCATGACAAAAACACACACACAACCTAAATTGTCAATCTCGGTTCGCACTCACATATTGAACAATAAATAACAAAACATACAAGCTTGCTCACATTGCTCATTAAAATCAGTAAGCAGAAATAATCATAATCATCATCATTGTATATTAGCATCTGTATGCTTGACATGGGCCTCAGACAAACAGGGGTTGTCTGGGGTGATGAAAGCACGTGTTGCAGGAACAATGTCTGGCACATATTGGTGAAACAATACAGTGGCATGATGTAGCCTTCTTTCCAGCTCTTTGAGACGTTGGATGAGAGCAACCGTTGTACCAGGCCACTCTGTCTCTGATAACAAAGCACAGAAAGGCATGCTGCTGGTGGAGATGGTCAGTTAGAGTTCTCATTTGGTGGTAAAGCATCTTCATGGGGCGTCATTTGCTTGCCTATAGTCAGACCACTCGAAACTTAATTTTCTACAATCTGGAAGAAGACAAAAGAAAAACAGTGCTTCTCATGTTACTTGGTAGTTTACAAAATAGTTGGCAGCTAATTACTAGATAGTTAATAGAGGGATAACAGCTGGATACTGATGTTACAAAAAGTACAGCACAAGCTACTGTGGTACACCTGACCAAACATTGCAGAAGTTATAAGGGAAGCCTTGTAATCGATTATTAATCACACCTAACTGAATATGTATGTATGTATTGTTACCTACAACAATATGTTATTGTCTAGGCCACAGCTGTGTAATCACACATAGGCTTCCATGTTGAAGCACCTCAGTAGTGCACTTAAAGGTGGCTGTAATTACCACATTCTTACATAAACATGCTGAACTCTTACCCGAGTTTATAGAACAAAGCTTTAATTTAATAGCTTTAAGATGTAGCTCCTGTGACATTATTACAATATTCAAGACATGTAAGCATTCACTTTAGTTGCTGACTTGATAGTTTTGGTTCCCCTTTAGGTTTAGGTAACCTTAGGTGACCTTTTCTCTGGCGCCACCTGCAGGACAAACCTGACAAAACATATTTTTTTGCCCACAAAATGTAAAATTCAAAGACATCTTCAAAAAGAAAAAAAAGTAGTGTGCCTGATGCTTGGTCTGCGTCCGTTACTAATATTACCAAATGGTTTATATTGTCTTCAGAAAATGCATTTCATGTACCAATTCTGAGTCCTGGCTGCAACAGCCATGGGTTCGAGTCTGACCTGTGGCCCTTTGCTGCTTCTCATTCCCTCTCTCTGATGACAGAGAGAGAGAATATATATATATATATAATAATTTTAAAAAAAAGAATACGCATGTCAGAGCTGGAAGCTGTTAAGCTGTTAACTCCTACTTCTGGAGTTATTGAGAATTATGAAAGCTGAAATACATTGGGAGATGAAAGAAATTGCTCAAGCAATGCTGACCATAGCTTAATAAAACCAGATATCAACGGAAATGCATTGACATTTTATAAGAAATACCCAGTTGAGCGTATGTGTGAAATTAGTGTATACAAGAGCGGCAACATTGAACATTTGAATTGGGAAAATCCATAAAGTCATCACACCCAAAGTGTCTTTCAGAAGCAGGGAACCAAAGCATAAACTCCAAGGTCTAACCATATTAAAGCCATAAAAAATGAATTCTAAAACAGGGAGGCGTGAGATAGGAAAAGTAGGAGGTGTGATTTCATGTTTTAATACTTTTATTTTCCTTCCATTTCAATTTAACTACAAGCCTTAGTTAATTTCTTTATTTTTGTTTCAATTCGAAAAGATAGTGTCTAAAAATATGGGATACGATGCATCTTTTTTCTTTCCCCCCCCCCAAACTTCAAAGTCAAACAGATTGTACTTGATACCAACTCTGTACATATTGTATCAATAACAATAGTGCATCTGCCATAGTGCAAAGCTCAAATGAACCAAACTGACCTCATATACACATACAGTTTGAGACAAGCTGCCTCCTGGACCCCAGACTAGATTTCTTTAATCTCATTTACAGCGGGGATCATTACAAAGCCTCTGGGCTGAGGCGTTCACCCAGGGCTCGGGGCTATCAACAAATGTACAAAAGATTCATGACATTTAAGTGATAGCTGGAATGCGAGACAGCTAGCTTAGCTGTCATGCCACATTTGAATAGGCATGGACAGTGTTGGCTACAGGAGAGATTTGCAGATGCAGGTTGTGTCAGGAGACTTACTGCAGTATGTTTGATGAAACAGATACAACTCATTATTTTAACATAGCTTTTAAATAAATCTTCATACAGTGCATTTAACATTCAGTATATCTTGCACATATTTACAAATAGGTGTGCATACAGTTGGCTAGTGCTCATTTTCTGTAGATACATGACATAAAAACTGTTGAATTCTTTATTAATGTGCCGCCTTTATGGTGCCATGGCTGCAGCGCACAACAGTTTGTAGAAAGAAATGATATTCTAGAGGTAAAAACCTGCCTATCTACCTGTGATAGGAGGAGTGTTAAGGTGTACATGGACACAACTGCCCCTAACACTAATGTAAACACACATACATTCTTCCTTTCTTTAAAAATGTCATACATTCAGTCGTGAACACACACACAGATTAAACCTCTTAAGTGTACAAACTTTGGGCCTGAAAGTAGTGAGCACACACAGACGGATACTGTGGAATGTATGTTGGTCAATCTGTGGTTGAAAACACTAAGTTACGGTCTCTGCTGCTTCAAAGTTCAGTGGTTTAAAATGATCCCAAAACCATAATACCTAGCTTCCCTTTTTGTACCTGAAAACTTGTGGTGGTGGTGGTAGGGGGGTGAGGGAGGGGCAGGTAAGATGCCTCAAGTTAAAAGAACAAATAACAATGAACATAAAGTCAGTTATAAGTCTGGGCTCTGGCTGAGCCATCATTTTATATCATAATTAGTCCTTCCTCAGTCTCTCTTTGGAAAACATGCTAACAACAGTCCAATATATGGTTTCTTTCAGTTAGATCCATGTTGCCAAACAGATTAAAAACACATAATTGTTTTAGAGATGCACCCAGTCAAGGCCTGGTCTTGGAGGAACTGTGCCTCTGGTCCTTCTCCTGTAAGAAAAAAGGGAACTATTCAGCTCCTTTTACTTTTTTTTCAGTCTATTAGATGTGCTAGTCCAACATTTAACCGTGGACTCAGTTGGTGGCCAGTTTAGTTTTCTGTGCAGGCAGGCAGGCTTTGGAAAGACATGTCTCTTATTAGATTGGTCCACCGTTGATATGTTCTTCATCAGAATGTCCAAGATGTAAGAAAAAGAGGGGAACACAGACACCAAAGCACATTCTTGGAGCCACCGGAATGGAGGAAGACCCTGGTGTCTCCCACAGGGAGAGCCACCTGCTCGCTCTAGGCGTGGCTCAGACACAATCCTCAGCAGCTTGCTGGCAGCAGCCACACAAGTATGATTCGGCTGGTATGGTGAGAGGAGCCCCAGAGGCCCAGCGAAGGAGGGAGACAGGCAGGAGGACAGATGAAAGGGGCAGACGGGAGCGTGGAGGAAACATTAATTGGAAGAGGATTGGAGAGATTTTGGGACAGGAGTGGAAGACTTTTTTTTGTTCCCCTCTTCTCCGATGTGGAAACGACACAGTGCGAGGAGGAAGACAGGAGTTGACAGGACACAGAGACAGAAAGACAGACAGGCATCTTATCCTCCACCAGATCTGAAAGAGAAGTGAAATCGGAGATTGTTAACAGAACGAAGAACAAATACGGACCATAGCATTTGAAGATGTTTGAGAAATGGAAGTTGTTCTGCTTTACAATGTTAAAGGAAATGTTATGTAATTGGGGACAGGGATGAGGATGTTTTTTAGCAAGAATTGAAATAGAATGAAGCATTCAAGCAAAATGAGCAGTGGTTGGATGCATGATTAGCATGGTGCTCTGTGGAGATGAACTTCAGATGGTGGAGCAAGTTGACATGCTGAGGGAATATAGCATGGGATAAGATGGGATGGTTTGTGATCCTTCTCCACCGATTGCATATCACATGATCATGGTTCTACAAGGTTATACCTTCCTCTTCGAATGTTCCTGCATCCCGTGGGCACACATTGAGAGAAAAGACAGAATGTCAATACATATCAACAACAATAGAAACAATTAAAAATGACAAATTATGACTAACAAGCTACACTGCTTTTTTGAAGCATGGCATGAAGCTGATCATCTTACATTACTACTTGCATAAAATTTAAAAGGACACATAAGCAATAAAAGTATAAATGCACAAAGAATAGATAATTCATTAACAGTAAGAATTGTTAAAACTAGCATAATATGGCTTTAATATGAAATGTGGGCATACAATCTGAATCAATATTTGAATCATTTTCTTCCATGTTGGACTGGCTGTACTCAGTTGGGATTTTACCACAGACTTTAGAACAAAAACATGAATCAAACAATGACTCAGTCAGTAGTTCAATCCATTATTTATCCACAAATTCTCTCCAAAATCTTTGTTGCCAGATTATAGTGATGGCATCACATGCAGCAGGTCTACAGTAGTCATGTTACTGACCCTCTCAGCCAGAGAGTGTGACAAAGCACTACACCAGAAACTATTACACCCACCCTCTAAGCCAGAGATCTGACTAGGAAGAAAAAACTTCCTGCTTACAGCTCATGCACACATGCACAGACACTTACCTCTGGCCCTAAAAGGACTGACTACATGCTAGTTATTCAAATATTGCTTTTCATTTTTCATTAACAGGGCTTTCCATCAGCCACAGTTATCTTATGCATCTAACTGTGAGTAAGTATGAGCAGCCCTTTTAGGTCAGAGTATAAGGAGTGAACAATAGCAAGCATGCACAGGTGGAACAGTGCAGAAGAAGCACTTCAGTGAGCGCGTTTGGGGTTAGGATGCTGCCAACAGGATAATGCAGGCTAAAAGAGCACCAAAGGTAAACATATTTCAAAAAGGGTGTTTATGATAATCCACTGTAAACATTACACTGATTCATAAATCTCTAGACTTAAGGGAAGTGCTGCAGTGGTTCCTGGCAGATTAACATCCCGGTCTTGCCCTGTCATTATGATAAAAAAAATGGGGTTGTAGTAAAGGGAGGGGAAGTAAAGGTGCAGGATGGAGCTCAGGGTTGATCAATTCGTTCAAAGAAAACACAGTTTGCTGTTTTGTATTTTAACGGCATGAGTAGTTTGAGCATTAGCATGGTCGAGCTCAGACTCGACTCCCCATTTCCCTTCCCCGAGTTGCAAACGGGCATCTATTTCAAAGAGGTGAGAGTGGCAGGGGCGGGGGTTCCTTTAGGTAGAAGCAGACAGGTACACAAAGGCATGCCAGAACTCTTACTTAAATCCCCATCCTGTTCCCCCTAGGACTATAGCTGCCAGAAGAATAGCACCTGCGATGGACCCTATTATGATATTGGTGCCACTGGGACCTGCGCAGAGGAAGGAGTAGGGAGGAAGGGTGCGGAGGAGGAGGAGGGGCAGAAACAAAACAACACCACTAAAAAACACACTTCAGAGGACAGCATCAACACTGTACATCAACAACATCAACTAGAGAGAGAGTGAGAGAGAGGCAGATGGTAAGATACCTGCAGACAGAGAGAGAGAAAGATGGAGGGAAAGAGAAGGAAACCAGCACGTGGGTTGGAGGTGGGACAACGGGCGGGTGAGCGAGGGAGGTCAGGGAGACAACAGTTATAAAAAAAACAAAGGAGAGAGAGTTTTATTACTTTGTTCTCATTCCCCCTCTCCTGCTCTTTCAGCTGGACACCCTCTTGCTCAGGGTGGCTTTGGCTTTTTTGGCCCTATGAGAGCAGCTGCTCAATTGCTCTGTGTCATTGGCAGACTGCAAGAAAGTAAGGAAGACACTTGAAGATAACAGTGCCTGCAAGACATACAGTACACACACAAACACAGACAGACACACACTCACACACTCACATACACTAACATACTTTACATGCACATATGCTCTAATGGATAAACGTGTCTCAACACACACCCACACTCTTCCAACATTGAAACCAAGACTCAGCAGGAAGAAAAACACTGTGTGGTCTAAATATTGACGTTCTCACAAAAATCAGGTGAACTACTCTTTGTATTTAAGGACAATATCTTGTGCTCCGCTTCAGTACATAGAGAAGCTACAGTGATGATGGGTAGAGACTATGAGGGGGATATGAGAGGCAGACAGAAAAGAGAGACGTGGGCAGCTTGAGAGGTGCTATGGACCTTTCTTCTCTGGGCCCGTTGGGACTGTTGGCTCGGGGATGGGATCAAAGACACTGCAGTCCTTCCCTGTGTAGTCCCTGTCACAGATACACTTCACCTCGTTACTGCAGGTCTACAAGAGAGAAAGATAAAAACTTCAGTGCAACAGTCACTAAAAGAAAGAGACAAGCAGAGAAAGACGTGTAGCCAGTGAGCCTGGATTCTATAGACGTCAAAAGACGTCTATGAATTCAGGTTAAACCTTTGCTGAATTAGAATTATAAAGTCTTGAATAGCTTTTTACACATCTTGGTGAGATAAAGCCATTTTTCAACCAACAGTCTTTGTCCACTATTAGGTAGATCGGTACAATCTAATGTAATCCAACACAACTGGTCGTAGTTAGTAGGTCTTTCTAATATTCTGCCCCCTAATGTATATAAATGGGACGCACAAACTTCGAAATACCTCAATATAATATAATCCAGTACAATACCACCTTTAACTATGAGCTCAGTAATAAACATAACTGTATTTTCAGCGATGTCATCAAATATTGTGAGCTTTGTAAAGATATATATTGTGGCATGGTTGTTGTGTTGGATAACATTAGCTTCTACAGCTACTCATGTGTCTGAAAAACATTCTCTTTTTAATGTCTAGACGTCTTTTGACTTGCAAATCACAGAATCAATGCTTGCTGGGAACTTTTTCTTTTACCCCGTGGTCAGAACAGATGCGTCCAAAATTGGATCCCGAACAGGTGCTGAGGTTAAATGCCGCCACAGGGAGGCAGCGTCGCTCCAAACACATCATGTTGGGACCACAAGGAGTGCCATCCTCCACATAGCCCAGGTCTGAGCCGTCCTCCAGCAGAGCATGGCCACCTCTGAGTGAAGCATCCAAACATGTCAGACATGTCAGGGAAAGAACTTCATCATTTAGGGACACAATATTCTAGTTTTCACACCGTTAGTTGTAGCAGATCAGATGGATGGGACCCATTTACCTGCAGTCTAGGTACTTGTTCTGGTGGTAGAGGGTGAAGCTTGTCACCTCACCCTGCAGGTCTCCAAACTTTGGCTTCATTGTCACGTTGGCACAGAAGAGGAAGCCACATAAAACATCCCTACACAGGAGAAAGCGGAAAAAAACATTTATGGCCTATATACAGCACTAAATTATACAAATATTAATTAGTTAGTTTTGGTATTTTCATATTTGTTAAAAATGATAAAAAATAAAGCCAGCTTTATCTTCTAAATTCAGGAAAGCTTCAAATCTGAACAGTGCAATATCTGCACAAAATGCAGTTCAGGTACCATGTTTTTGCACAAAAAGCAGAATGGAGTGAACATGCTTTTATTCTTTCATGAGAAGCAAGGGGAATCAGGATGGTGTCACTCACGGCTTGTTGCATTGCAGCCAGCCCTGACCTTCAGGACCTGGACCACAGTTGCCTTTCTCTGTCCCTTCAGCGTTCAGCTTCTCATAACAAAACCTGTCTGCTGAATCTGAGGGGGTAAACAGAAATACAAATTCGACTGTTTTGAGAAGAATGACACTACAAAGTCACTACAAAACCAGCCACAAGTACATATATATACATTATACACAGTAATATGACTATATAACATTCCATTCCCAGGTGCAAGATGCATGTTTGCTATACTTACTATAACCCCAGAGTACCCTACACTGTCCATCACGAGTCCTGCATCGTCCACCGTAACAGCGGCCCTGAAGAAATGAGATAACAGCAATCAAGCATAGCTAAGAGTGAGCTGCAGATGAGAAAACATGCCACAAACCAGCCCTTACCTGACTGTTATCACATATGTAGCCATCTAGCTTGTGGACATTATGAGGGCACTGCAAAAGAAGAAAAGTACATGATGTTCTGGATACTTAATCTTGCAGTTAAGACGCAGTTTTTTTTATTACATTCGGTTCACTCTACCTGGCTGGAATCTCCGGTGCAGGTCTCTGGGATATCACAGTCATTCACAGCGTCTCGACATACCACACCTCTCCGCTCATACTAGGTCACAGGATGAAAACGAATCAAGTAAATTCTTGATAAGTCAGTAATCATACAGCTGATTTCCAATTCATGTCAACGCATCTTACTGAAAAGTCTGAAAATGTCAAGACACTTTTACTGCGTTTTACTGCGTTTTACTGCATTCAGTTTAACTTCTCACAGTTTTTATGATCTATATCATACTGGGGCACATCCCATGAGTTCTTTAACACTAAGATGAAGGTTGAAGAGATTTATCTCTTGACAAACACCTCACCTCTAGAACTAATTTCTCATTAGCAAGCATGATGAGAAAAATTGCAGAAACTGGATGTCTAATATGTTATTTGACCCAAAAAACTTTTATCGTAACTGGTAATATGTATATATTTTTTTCAAATTCCCTATTTTGCAAGCCTAATCATTAATGAGAAATCACAACAGACATACATGTTTTGGCATAGTACTCGTTCATTGTTAAATAACTTAATTATCTCATATAAAGATTATAAAACCATTTAGTTCATTTTTTTGACTCCTTTATATATAAGTGGACTCACCTTGCAGCTACTGCAGCAGAGTCCGTTACTGCACATGGCATCATGGGTAAGAGTGCACTTTTTACAGCAGGCTCCTCCACTACGAGCACACTCCTACAGCCACAGACATGAAAATGGTAAATGGTAAATGGACCTGGTCCAAATGGACCTGTACTTGATATGCGCCTTTCTAGTCTTCCGACACCTCAAAAGCGCTTTTAACATACGTGCCATCTTCACCCTCTTCACACACACATTCACTAAGCGATGGCAAAAGTCATCGAACAGCAAACTAATCATCCATAACATTCACACATCCGATGCCTGCCTGCACTCAGGAGCAATTTGGGGTCAGTATCTTGCTCAAGGATACTGACTTCGACACGTGGCAGGAGGAGCCGGGGATCGAACCAACAACCTTCTGATTGGGGGACGACCCGCTCTGCCTCTGAGCCACAGAGAAACAACCCTTCAGCTCTGTTCCAGCAAAACACCATACCCTCCAGTGCTCATAAAGAGACAGAAGGTGCTACCCATCTGCAGAAGGTTAAAGAGGTGGTTTTCATACATGATGTCCATCTGGGTACTCACCACCTGGGATCCACAGTCACACTCTTCCCCTGGCTCCACAAAACCATTCCCACATTCTGGAGGATCCAACAGCTGAGAGAGGCAGAGAGGGACATATATGAGCATATATAGTATAAGTGGGACACAGATGGACGAGAGATAAAATGTGTCAGTAATATAGGAGATCATTGGCTTGAAGTACACCGATTCGAAGATAGGAGTATTACTAAAATGAAGTAAACAGAAATATTCTATGGTTCTGTAAGTAAATATGTGCTGTGATAGAAATAAATCATTATATCATTTAATTTAATTTATCTATAAATAATGATGCTCAGGTGCAGCGCCTCTCAACACTTTCTACATCCCCACATGGCCCATACCTTGTTGGGCTTGTTGAAGAGGCAGCTCCCGCCCCCCTGGAGCAAGAACTGGATGTACTCATCAACACTGCAGCGAGAAAACTTTCTGGGCAGATAGTATCTGCGTTCACAAATACACACACAAAAAAATTCAAGACCAGGACATGACAAAAAAATAAAATAAAAAACAGCATAAAGCTTTTCTGCCAGTAAGGAATGCCAGATCCACCGTGGGTGTCTGAGCTATCACTTTGCAATCTTACAGAAATGTAACCATCTGTAGTAGGATTATACTCAAATGAATAACTGAAATCTGTATTAGGAGAGCCAAATCCAAATCAATGTTTAATTCTTACACGGTGGTTGGCACACTGGTGTCTGATGTTTCAACAAATTTGCTTAAAGCATCAAATACAAGCTGTGATTATCACCAGCTTGGCTCACTGAAGACTGAGTAAAAGTCAATGCATCCCTCTGATACAGGTGTTTAATTGTCTAATTGAGTGAAATGAACGGAACAAATCACAGCTTCGAGGGAGCGTGACAGGGAAACAGTTCTTCTGCCTGCTGTTAAATTGTGTCAACAAACACACATTTTACAGGTGTGTTGTGTTTTTTGTTGTTGTTCACTTTAGTCTGCTGCAATGTAGATCTTTACCCCGTGTCTTCCATGATGCAGCCCAGCCAGGCATCTGGGCACCTGCAGTCTCCTGTGAAGAAGACAAGGAGTTGGAATTGACTCAAATAAATAACAGTAAAAACTAATGTGATCAATATTTAGAGTCTTGAGAAAAAGATTCATGATTGACAAAGAATAAAAGACTTTTCATAGAACTGATACCTAGTGACAGAGGTATGGAGCTTATATGCACTGAGCTCTTGTCCTGGCATTGAATAATGGACCTGATGGCTCTTCAACATTAATCACTGAGCCCATTGTTCAGTGGCAGCAATGCTCTAACTACCACCCCCTCCTTTATGGACGCAGGTGACTAATCACCTAATGGAGAAGTCTAATTACAGAAGAGAACCGCTGGACAGGGATAACAACACCAAACACTCTCACCTCCCCCCACTGCTCCACCCGGCTATAAATCCCATTCCTCACCTATCATCCACTGCATCGAACCTTCCCACACTCATCTTGCTCTCTTGTTTTATAGATCTCTCGATCCTCACCACTGCATTATTAGGCTTTCATATTGTCTTTTACCTGCAGAGTTGCGTGCGTTGTTCCACCTCATGCCGATGTTCTGGCCAAGACTCTGGCACAAAGTGATGGCCATTGCACCAACATTCCCATACTGGAACAAATACAATACAAAACACAGAAAATCCACACAGGAGAGCTTTATTGTGAAACAGGTACAACAATGATAGAAAATCCTACAGTTTATTTGGGTTGCACCAAACAGGATGTACTTAAAACCAGAAAAAACTAGCCTGGCTCTGTCCCAAAGTAACAAAATCCTAATACAAAATTGTTTAAATTAATCCCTGTTGGTGCAACGGAATTCTAATTTTTTTTCCTCACCTCGTTGATACCTCCTCCCCTTGTGGGAGAGCACACTCCTCCTGTGTAGGCAGTCCCACTTCGGCTACTGTGAAATGTTCGCCCTCTGAGGTGCACAGGAAAGATACCATAATTTAAAGTAAAACCTCACTAGGATGCAAAAATCAAATCATTCTCTAGTTATTGGATTTATTTTTTTCCTCTTACGAGAAAAGATGGACGACGTCACTCTGCTCTTTGATGTTGTCCTTCCTGTATTTCATGAAGTTCTGCAGTGTTATCAATGGATCTTCCACTACTGGCATCATATTTTTAGAGGTCCAGGTCTCCATGGCAACCAGCACGATCCTCGTGTTCAGCTGTTCCTTGTAGATCTAGGGACCAAAAATGCCCATCAGTCTACTGCTTTGTTGGCTTGATACCTGTGTTGTGAACACTCTGTGGCATGAAGAACTGTGTGCTATCTGGGTTAAATCATTCCCAAAAGTGGAAATAAGCGCACACACACACTTCTTGGCAGGTGGCAGGGTGTGTATATGGAGAGTTTAGGAGTAGGAGGATTATAATCCTACAAACAAAGCTCTTACCGCATCTGCCATGTTGACCACTGCTTTGGCAAAGTTCTTGGTTTGGCTGCTAGAGCGACGCAGCTGTACAAACTGTGGAGACACAGAGATACACAGATGGTGTAAGAGATGGCTCACATTCACTCTCTCTCACGCACACGATTGTACTTTCATAGTTGTAAGGATCTTGAGACTAAGGCATAAATTCAAAGGAATGTTTCACTGATTTTATTTTCACAATTTACTTAGGGATTACTAAGGCAACTTTCTTCATTTTTGTTTAAATAGGATTACATGATATAAATTATGCAATGCACTTTATGCATCATTGATAAATCATACATCTCTCTCCTCAAATAAAAAGTTAAACAATGCTAGCCATTATTTAATCAATCTTAATCAGCATTCATCCACATACTCTTTACTTTCTGTAAAGCCTGTTTTTATAAACTCTTGTGTTGGTGTTAGTAGGTACAGCATCAACGTTTGATTGAACAGTAAAAGCTTTAATAACTTACTATATATGACACAACTGACATATAAAGTTCTTCAGTACAAAGATAATAAATGTTACAGAAAACCAGATTAAGAGTTTGACTACACATTAAAACCACTAAGGGCGTTGGTGTGATTATTCAGTGTATTCAGCAACTACTTACATTTTTTTTTTTAGAGATAGAGTACACATTTTCTCCCTTGCCAATTTGTCTGCATCTTAAGTAACATTATGCAACTTGTCTACTTTAAAATAACAGCTTCAGTCATTTGATGCAACACTTGAGTTGTAATAGGATGAATGGTGACTCTGTCATTCCCAGTATGCGCCCCCCTGCACCTGTTCATGCATGTAACTTTGTTGTCCGGGTCGGAACAAGTGCATGTTGCTTTACAGCAGCAGTCACACACCACCAACTTTGGTGAAACTGGATCATATTTTATGGGGAAAATGTTTTCTGGTTTCTAGTTCTGAACAGAAAGCTTTACTAGTTGCTAAATTAAGTTAATTGCTAAGCTAGTTATCAAGTGTACAGCTGTCCATATTTACAACAGTGTTATTGCTCTCAAAAACCGTGGGCACCAAATCGCAACAAATACCAAATTCGACATAACGTTGCCTTAACACCAGGATTAAAAACCACTGTGGTCTCTGGTTAAAATTGTCAAGCCTCATGCACCATCTGACTGTTGGATATGCTCTGAAGTTTGCTCTGTTGCACCTGTAACCACACCTAACAGTGACGTGAAAAGGTCCTAGAGTACACCTGTGCATCACTGTAGGTAGGTGAGAATTTAAACCAGTATAAAAAAACAACAAGATTTTCTGGGGTTGTTTTAATTTATCAGAGCTTCAATTGCTCAAAAAGGTTCCTTTAAACATTTTGAGTTAAAATTTTGAGATCATGTTTGACAAAGTGAAAGCATACCTTTTATTTAAACATTCTTTTTTTGTTGTTGCTTGGTCTGAAGAAAGGTGGGGTTAGTGGTTTTAAATAATGTGATTCTAATTCAATAAATCATTTATTTTAAATCTCTCCATATGGTACGCTTGGTTTCCATTCTGTGTGTGCGCTGAAAAAAATGTGGTGTTTGTACACAGCCCGGGCTCTGTAAATGGGAAACAAGCAAAGTGGATTGGACCAAGCCACACAACACCAACTTGTTATTCCAGCCATTCCAGCCAGGATCTGTGTGTCAGGTAAAATGTAATGACTTGCCCACACTGACATTCAGCTTACTTTCTAGCTTGCCAAGATGTGCTGTTGTTGTGATGTTAGCTATAGTAGCAGTATAGTAGCAAACTTGTCCTCTTCTATGTTGCATGTTAGCTGTGCAGCAGCAACTATAGCAATAGAAGCTATTGTGTTTGTGTGTGGCCAACTACATAACATTTCATTTGGTGAGGTTATGATGGCTGAAAGTATTTAGTGTAGCTCCTACATGTAGCTTGTTTTTAGTGTCAGTATAGTTATCATTTTCTAACTGGCCCCTCTCCCAGCACCCCAAATGTAGCCTTTAATTTCATGTGTTGGAGAAGCAAACATGAAAACAACCAGGTTAACACACACTGGGCTGGTAGATGGTTAACCACACAAACCATGCCAGTAGATCTAGCCTCTATAACTTTAATTTCTCTTGACAACAAAGACCACCAGCACAGACATCAGATATCCACACAGTTGGCAGCAAACTCACCATTTCGTTGTCGTTGACCACCATCAACTCAATATATTTAGTCTCAGTCTGGACAGAGGGCTTGCGAACAGATCTCTTGGATCGCCTCAACCCCCCAGACACCTGCTGCTCTCTCATTTGGTCAGGCCTGTCATCATCACCATCACCTCCTCTGCTTTCCCACTCACTGTCCTCTGTACAGTCTGGGCACATAAAGAAGCAGAGCTGCAGGCAGTTAGAGCACTTTATTTTGTACTGTAAGGTGCAGTTTAAACATTACTATCTCAATTTCAGTCAAACATTACAGTTCTCAATCAAAAAGGCTTTAATTATCACCCTGTCTGAACTAACAAAAAAATTACTTCCCATTCAATTATCCCATTTGAATTGTCCTCTCTCATCAGTGTGATTTTTTTTTTCTGATTCATTGAGAAATGAAAGATGAACATGAGAAAAAGTATGTATTCCCTGTGTGAGAGGTTTATTGGACAGTAACATTAGCAGTAACCAAAACAGTGGATAGGAAGTTGGGTCTAATTAACTAACTGAAGGCAATTTTAAAATAGAATAAATAAAGATAAGAATGTAAAAAAAGACTAAAAGGCAGTATTAGTCTGATGTGATATAACGGTGAGCTTATGCTTTAAATGCACTTATGTACCTGGGCAGTGGAAGGGAAGTTTGATATCGGGCATCCTGCGGATTAAGTGCGCACCACCATCCTATAATAGAATACACCCAGATGACATTAGACACATTAAGACCCCAAAACAACTGACAACTGACTCAATTAAATTCTCTATCATGTTAGTCAACAAAAAAAAAACGAAATATGTTATACTATCCACTGACTATTTACCTGATTGCTCCCATTATGAACAGGCTCAATCCCGTAAGAAAAGAAGCCATCAGAGAACATGCCGCTGAGACAAAAAGAGAAAGAAAAGTGAGATACAGAGTGGAAAGGGACAGAAAATTTAAAGATTAAGCTGGAATTATGTGTGCCTGATCAGCATGCACAGGTCACTGTGATTTTATAAATAAAGATTTACTGTAAGGCTCACCACAGGCCATGGCAGGTGGAGAGAGCTGCCCAGGACTCTGGTAAACCTCTTAACCTTCCCTGATAGTAGCAGTGCTCTCCTCCCTGTGGACACAATGCACCACTGTTTCATGATACATCCTCCACTGACACACTTCAGGCTTCAGGTATGGTGGTAGGTCAACTATGAGGAAAAAACGTCTCACAACCTCGGCATATGCGACTCCCCTCTCCCTCTTTCCCCACGATTGCATTTATGGCACAGTTTGTGACTTACTTGTGTCCTATGCTCTACTTCACCCTACAATGGTTCACTGACAATAGAGCTGGAGGTAGGCCTTTGATAAGGATCTCTTGAATATATCCACACTCATGTTGCCCACACAGTTAGAGAATTTAACATGGAACGACTGTACAGCACACAGGCTGCACCTTTTTAGGTGAGTAAAAAAAGGAATTGTGCTCTGTTCTTTCCTGCCCTTATAACAACCTTGACTACCACAACAGAGCCCTAGCTTTCATCTGCAGTTAACACTCCCTCAAAAGGGGGCGCAGTGCTTCACAAGGTCACAGTGGTGGAGATGAACCACCACGAAGGTGAGAAAAGTGAGAAACACTGGTTCACCTGGATCAAATTGAGTTCAACAGGGTGTATCAGCCTTGCCACAACAGCTCAGGCAAACAAAGCGCGGTGAATGGAAATAAAAGTGCTTTGACGACAGAGATCAGTCTGGTGACGTGCTGCTCTGAATGCATCACACCTGCCATGTCCAACAGCAGCACCAGAGACATCACATGAGGCCTCCATCCAGCTGAGCGACAATCTGGCCTGACTACAGGTCACCATCCCTTGCCCTGCAGGCCTCCTTTCCCTCATCACTCTGGGAACAAACTGATTTTCTATGAACACACATACACCTCTAAATACACACCCAAAATTACTCCTCCCCAATACCAAAGCTCATCTTGCCTTTGTATTAACTGGCATTTTACTCCTCATATTCCCTCCTCCTCCTCTTCCATCGGCTCTGCTTTTCCCTCCCTCTTGGTCTTCTTTCATTCTCGTCGCTGCCAAGAACTTAATGACACTGCTGAGCTAACTCGTTGCTATGGAAACAGGCTTGCGATTGGTCGGGAGGACTGAGGGAGAGTTTGGAACGATTGTGGGTGGGGACACGGAGTTCAGGCTGGGTGGGTGGGTTGGTGCTGGGGGGGGCAATGAGTGGCACATTTGTACAGACAAAAAAACATTAGCCATCCCTTCTGGCTAGTAGAATGCAGTGACATTCCTCTGGTCTGTCAGGACAAACACACATCACATTAGATGTCAAGGCTCTCATCCATTTTCCTGTTGTGTCTCAATTCTTTCTCTGAGCTTGTGGTTTGACACCACTAGCATCTGCTGCCTTTTTCTTGACTGTCTGAGAAAGGACACAGCAGAGAGGCATGCATGTAACGGCTGACAGGCGAACCCACGTATGTAGAGCACACTAACATACATAATCCTAATTGTTACATGGCAGCCTACTTTTGAAGCACAGAGCACACAATGCACGTTCCATAAATAGATAAAACAGGAGGATGAGAAGAAACTGTAAAAACAAAGCCATAAAAGATGAAAACAAACAAAAAGCGTATGTTTCTAAATTCAGGCTTTAATCGAGCAGGTATACATTAAACAACCTATGTGTGATATATATATATA